GAGGGCGCCCCGGCGGGCGGGGCAGCTCTGTGTCTGGGATCGATGGGGTCAGTGTCTCTAGGGTGGCGCTGACTCTCTTTAAGGGGGTCTCATCTGGGCTGGTGCGAGAGGGCTTTCTGGGGCTGTTCTTCGTTGGGCGAAATGAAGGCGGAAGGTCTGTCCCTGGCTTTGGATGCAGCAGGCCCCCAGCCCCGCGGGATGTGGGTGGTTTCCCTCCTGGGAGCGATCCCGGGGGGCAGTGTACAATAGTACATGGGGGATGTGATTGGTATCTGCGGCTGGGAAATAGATGGATCCTAGAAACTGTGTTAGGATTTCTAGTGCCTTGTAGCCGAATGCCAGGCACTTATCTTCCTCCTTTTTCACCTCCCAGCCCCCTCACAAGAGAGTATAATTGTCTGTGGTGAAGTCCTCATCCTGTCATAAGATCTCTTGTAGACAGTGGGGGTTGGGAAGAACACTGGGACAGTAACCATTTTGCAATCGCTTTAATATTACACCAACAACATATGTGAGGTTAAAGTTAGAGACCAAAAAATAGCTTTTTGATTATCAGGCTTACCCATCTCATTGCAGATCCCAGGCAAAGGATATTTATACATTGTACAAAGAGTCTTTTTTTTTTACAATGAAACAGTACTTTTTTATATAAATCCTCACATCAAGACCGCCTATCTAGCTAATATGCACCTGATAAAATAATTTTCTTGTCTATCATTGGGACTTTAATCTTCACTGAATCCCTTCTTTGTCTACTGCTTGTCCATTGCATTGTTTTATTTTTTTTTCTCATTACCTTTAGTAGGTTTACATCAGCTTTTGTGTCTGATTTATAGTAGTATGTATCCTCCTCACATGTTGCTGGAGTCAATGTCCTGTTCCTCTCCTACCATTCCCACTATTCCATTCTGTCCCTTTGTTTAGAATGCATTCTGTATCTCAGGCCTAGTATACATACTAAGACATACCTAGATCTACCTACTATGCTCTCCTGTTGACTCCTCCTATGCTCCTTGTTGTGCTGGAGTACTGAGTCAATGGGCGAGTGCTCAGCAGTTGATTTATCACATTTATCAAACCCTGTATGTTTGATTGCTGACTGTTCATCTCATGGGTTCTGAAGATGTTGCCCCCAGATTTTCAAGCCATCAGTCTTCACATTCAGGTCCTTCCTAAAGATTTGCTTCCCTGATGCCAAAAAGATACAAACTGAATATCAGAGTTGTTTGAAATAGAGCTGGAATACCCATTTTGTGGAAATTCCAAAATATATTTAGAATAGGAATGAAACAATAATTTTTCAAAATGTCCACTGGAGCAAAATTCCGTAATTTCATTTTGGAATAATTAAAATGACACTTTATTTTGATCATGTCAAAACATTTTGGTTTGTTTGATAAGGTCAAAACATTTAGTTTTGACTTTATAACATTACATAAAAGTTTTGTTGATTGCAATGTAATATAAAGGTGAAAGTTTCTGACAATATTATTATGTCATAGCAGCCAGGGAACTAGGTAACAGACATGCTGGCCAGCAACTAGAGAGCTGAGGAGCTGCTGATCAGCTGGACTTCCTGACTTCTATGAAAAGTTTCAGTGTCATTGACACATTCTCCCCTGGAACATTCTGATTCCATCAAATCAGTGGGTTTTGTTTGTTTGTTTTTGATGGAAAATTGTTGTGGAAGAAAACTTTCAACCAGCTTTGTTTGTGAGTGTGTACTGATCAACTAATCTATCTATTGTTACTAAAAGTTAATCTTTTCTTTGGGCTTCCTAATGCATCCTATTGTCTCCATTTTGTCTGTCATTATTACTAATATATATTGCAGTATCACCCATAATGGGCTAGACTCTTGAAGAGTCAGTCCCTACCCTGAGAAGACGGCAGTTTAAGAAGACAAAAACCAGAGGAAGCACGGAAGGAAGAGATACAACATATAGGCAAATGATTGGGATGGAGATGATAAGCATACAACTTTAGGCCCAGGGCTTTTGTTCGTTTGTTTTATTTTATAATTTAGGGACCAAGGTGTGGTGAAGGAAATGGCTGTGCGGGATAGGATGGATGAGAAGAGGAGGAAGAAAGAAGGATACTAGGGAAAAAAGGATGGAAGGATGAAGACACGCTTAGAGCAATGGAAAAGTGAGGCTAGCTGTGTGGCCACTGGGAGGAGGATAAATTGTGAAGAAAACCATCAATCAGCAAGCAGAAAAGGATGTCTGCAGTTCAGATTGTAAAAGGCAGTTTGCTGAGATATCTGGTGTTCTGATGGGCCTCAGCCCTGCTGCTGTTAGGCTAGACCTCTGAGGAGCATTCAGCTCACAAGGGTTTGCTCTGCCCTTGGGAGTTCTTACTTGGCAAACAATAAATCATCTTGCTACTTGCAACCATTGCAAAAATGGAAATAGTCTTACAATAAAATGACAGCACCAGTGTTAGTGCTTAATGATTTACAAGCAGTTGGCTCCCCATTATCAGCATGTTTATGATGCTCTCTGTGGGTACACTGGGATTGGCAGAAACTATAAACCTTTTGCTATAGGCTAGAGGAGAACAACTTGGCTGAGAAACAGTGCTGTTTGATTCTTGACTACATTTACATTAGCAAACTTGGTGGCTGCGTCTAGACTGGCAAGTTTTTCGGCAAAACTTGCCAGCTGTCTTCACTGGCCGCTTGAATTTGCGCAAGAACACTGACGATCTAATGTAAGATTGTCAGTGTTCTGCCGCAAATACTATGCTGCTCCCGTTCGGGCAAAAGCCCTTTTCCAGAAATGCTTTTGCGCAAAAGGGCCAGTGTAGACAGCTGAAAACTGTTTTGTGCAAAAAAGCCCCGATGGTGAAAATGGCGATCGGGGCTTTCTTGCGCAAAACCATGTTTAGATTGGCACGGATGCTTTTCCGCAAAAAGTGCTTTTCTGTTAAAAACTTTTCTGTTAAAAGCATTTGCAGAAAATCATGCCAGTCTAGACGGAGCCCATGAGTGCAGATTGAGATTTGCTATAATGTATCCTGTCTATGCTAAGGGTTTACATCAGAGTATTTGCTTTGTTCACCAATGGCTGAAATCGAAGCAATCCTCCTACTATCTGAAATCAGTGCTTCTTGCGGAAATACTATGCTGCTCCTGTTCAGGCAAAAGCCCTCTTGCACAAATGCTTTTTTTTTGTTTTTGTTTTTCACAAAAAAGCCCCGATCACAAAAATGGCGATTGGGTCTTTTTTGCGCAAAACCGCATCTAGATTGGCATGGATGCTTTTCTGCAAATAGTGCTTTTGCGGAAAAGTGTCTATGCCAATCTAGATGCTCTTTTCCGCAAATGCTTTTAATGGAAAACTTTTCCGTTAAAAGCATTTGCGGGAAATCATGCCAGTCTAGACATAGCCTATGGCTATAAGTCATCACTTCATACCTCAACCAGTGGTAGCAATGTTGGAAGTGGAGCATAGACAGGACTCTCAACTTTTTGTTATATTATATATTTCTAATTAGAATAGAATAGACAATTTGGTGGTACAAAAAAAAGTGCACAGTGTAAGCTACAGTATCTGCCATTGCAAACAGTGGAGATGCATTAGTGAAACATTATATGTCTGATTTTTGTCAGCACAGATGCAGTTTAAGAAGAATATTATGAGATAAATCGCTTTTCCCAAATCAGAAAACATGGTGAAGGGCATATATTGCAGTTATAGACAAGCTAATGTATTGTGTCCAATCTGGAGATAAGGTATTATGATAGAGAAGGGTTCGTTGGGAACCAATTCTGGAGTAAACAGTCCAGGATAGAGTGATTTACAGTGGGTTATTTTTGAATGTAATAGACGTGAGGGAAGGGGATTGAAAGTGTATGTGTGGGAGAGGGGCAGTTGAGCGGGGGAAAAAAGGCTGAGTCTGTTAAACCCAAACTGTGATGGACTGTAAAAAAGAATGGTAGGATGTTGTTTGTATTGCAGTAGATTCAGAGATTCTTGTCAGGGTCCCACTGTATTTGGAGGCATTTAATTAAGTGTCTCAAAACATCTGTGACACCATATTTGGAGGCTTGTATTACAAACACAGCCACTCAGAGTAGGTGATCACGGCGATCACTTCTGGCTTTGGAAGTGATTAAAATGTTTATTTCAAATCCCCAGGCATCAAGTCTTTTGTCTTCTTCAGACTGTTGTTTGTTGTATTGAAATATGATAGAATAAGGATATCTATCTGCACACCCCTAAATATTTACACAAATAAGATATGTAGTTTGTGGGTCTTTGCAGGAATAATCTGTTTTATCAAACATATTCTCTTCACTTCAGGCTTCTTACATCACTTGAAACAAATAGGTGGCAGGTTTGCTAAAATTTTGGTGGTGCCCACATTGCCCAGAGCCCACACTCCTCACTCCCAAAGTTCCTCACTCCACCTACCTAAGGCTCTTGGAGGGAATTTGGGTGGAGGAGGGATGCAGGCTCTGGGAGGAAATTTAGGTGCAGACTCTGGACTGGGGCAGGGCATTGAGCCGTAAGGGGGAGTGTAGGTTCTGGGAGTTTATGTGCAAGAGGGTTGAGTGGTTAGGATCTGGGAGGAAGTCTGGGTGCTGGGTAAAGGCTCTGTCCTGGGACAGGGGTTAGGGATGCAGAAGGAGTGAGATGTACAGGCTCTAGGAGGGAGGTTTGAGGGCTGGAGGGGGTGCACGAGTTTGGGGGCAAAAGTGGTGAGGGGAGAATATGCAGACTGTATGAGGGAGTGCAGGGTTGGGAGGGGCATTAGAGGGTACAGCTCATACATAGGTTACTACTTTCTGGCAGCTGCTCTGGGGGTCATGCTGCTCCTGTGTGCTCCCCCGCATGCATTCCCCAGCTCTGCCTGTTGCCCCTGGGTGATTTAAAATGTTGTGGGGTCCACTGCCACCACTACCAGCAGGGCAGTGGGGCTAGAGTGGCTTCACCAAGGGCAGCATGTGCATTCCCCGTAGCCCTGTGGGGTGTGTGTGTGTCTCCGTGCACTGCTCCCAGGATTCCCCTATTCCCATCCAGGGGCAGCAGGGACATACATGCAGGCAGCAGTGTGGAGCCAGCAGCTGGAAGCTGCACTAGTTCTGTGTGCTGGTGGTGGTGGTGGTAGGGAGGGGATCCTTGGATTAGGAATGTAAACGAGTAGTCAATTACCTGATAAAACTAGGCTTATCGGTTAGTTGAGTCCCACTACTCGACTACTCGAATTTCCCCTCCCCCCACACACATTTGCTGCCTCTGTATCAGAGGCAACAAGTGGGGAGGAAGCAGGAACTGGTGCTAGGAAGAGCTGGCTAAAAAGCCAGTTCCCCCCAGCACCGTCTCTGTGCTGCCACCTGCTCCCCCACATTGCTGCCTTTATCAGAGACTGCAGCTTGCAGGGGGGTCTGCTCCCCATCCCGCAGAGTAGCCCCAATCCACAGAGGGTCCCAGCAGGGACAGGGGCTGCTGGACCCAGCATGAGCCAGGACTGAGCTAGGCTTGCTAAGTTCTGGCTTGTGCTGGGTCTGGGACCTACCACTGCTGCTCCTCTGCAGTTTAAATGTAGTAGGAGCTGGGTTGCCTGTGCGTCCAGATCTTACTACATTTAAACTGCAGTGCTCCAATGGGGGTAACTCCCAGACCCTGCGCAAGCCAGGACTGAGCAAACCTTCCCTTGTTGACTAATCATGTAGTTGATACACATTTTATTGACTACACGATTAGTGAATTACATTCCTTTTAATATACTTACCTTGGATTGCTAAAGTTTTGAGAACCGCTGCCGTAGACTAAAACTGGTTCACCATAATTGGTTGATAAACAATATGAATGATGGAATGTTATCCTCTTAACCCCAGTTAATGCAGGGGTAAGATGCAACAAGTCTGATGTGATCAGTAATAGCATTAGGAATCAGTCAGCTGTCAAGTGGCATAGAAAATAACTCCAGTATAATGTTGCTAGTGGGACAAAATGTCTACTATATTTATTAAAGGTGTTGGTTTTACATTTTTGGAAGTGGAGGATGGAGAGGACATGGAGTCCATTTCATAGATTCTCATTTTCCATTCCTCTTTCATGGTCTGTCTGTTTTAGTTGTTAGGTACTATGGTAAAGATTGCTTTAGAAAAAAAAACCTCTGTTCCTTTATTGTAGCAATGTATTTTCCTAAAATTTCCCAAGGTATCATTGTTCAGCTCCACTTATGGTAGTAATAATTAGAACTTGAGGGTAAATGGTGCTTCCAACACAAAGTTACTCAAAATACCAGTTTTTCCCTTCATCACCACACACATTAGCATTCTCACTGTGGTGCGTACATGGGTATCCCTCCTGCACCTGGGTGGGGGGAGGGGTGGGGTGTATGAACATACACACACACACACACGGATGCAGGGAACATACTTGCCAGCTGTGGTGCCGGAAGCCACTCTAGCCCACTCTAGCTGTGCTGCCGGATGTTCCCAGAGCATCATTCCCTTTGGTGGAGATGAATCCATGGTAGCAATGATGAGGTACTTTAGGAGAAATGTCCTAGTGTTGTCAAGGCCTCATGGTAATTGGGAGGGAGCCCTGAGCATTGTTGACAGCTCAAGGCATGCCATGAGCTGGATCCAGCCTGCAGGTTCTAGGTCCCTCTCCCCTTCAAGGAACCAGATAAAGAGTGAGGAATTTCTTTGACTACTCATGATAATCAGTCTAGGAACAAGAGTCTAGAGATTACTTGGTTTTCTCACAAAAGTGGGATAGTGTGTTAAAGCATTGGTCCATATTATTTTAAATAATTTACATAATTTTCAGTTAATTTGGGAAAATGAAAGATTATTTAGAATACACATTCTGAATGCCTTCATTGTTAAGTATATTAGTTATAACCTCTTTTTTGTTTGTGTTGTTTTCAGTCAGGGCAGTTCACAGAAGATATGATTCCTACAGTAGGTTTCAATATGAGAAAAATAACAAAAGGAAATGTTACCATAAAGGTAAGTGTTCTTATCTGAATTATACTAAGAGGAAATAATTATCATTTTAGCATGGAATGGGAGTGTGTAATATTTAATGAGGATGGTGAAAATGGTTTCACTTAATATAATTGATGAAAGCTGTCCTTCTTGTCTTGTGAAATAATAGGATGGACTATTCTTTTAAATAATCTTTATTAAAATTGCTTTTGAATAAGGAATTTCCTTAGTGTATTAAGCTTAGTTTGCATGTGCTGTTTTATTTTACTTAGTAACCTACTTCATTTTGTGTGCTATCTCTTATGACCATTTAGATCCTTCCTTTATACAGTTTGGACCTCCCTGGTCTGGCATCATAATGAGAATTTGCTGGACCAGAGGAGTTGTCCCCTGACACCAGACTTGAGCCAGCTGGCCCCTGCCTCTGGCCTTCTTTACCCCCTCTGCAAATGGGCTGTCTGTGCTGCTGGCCCCCCAGCCCTGGGCTGCTATGGGTGGCCACCGTTCTCTGGCCCTGCACTGCTGCGATTCCCTGGTCATGCACTGCGGCAGGTGGCCAGGTTTCCCGGCTCCATGCTGCCGTGGGCTGCTGAAATTCTCCAGCCCCCAGCTCCATGCTGCTGTGGGCAGCCAGGCTTCTCCCGCCCATGATACCACACTGCCACAGGCTGCTGGGGTTCTCTGACTCCTGCACTGCTGTGAGTGACCAGATTTCATTGGTCCTGCACTGCTGCAGGTGGCTGATGTTTTCCAGCCCCTGGCTTCGTGCTGCTTCTGGTGGCTAGGCTTCTTCGGCCTTGGGCCCCATGCTGCTGTAGGCGACCAGGGTTCCCAGCCCTGCACTGCCGAGGGCTGCCAGGGTTCTCTGGTCTGGTTCCAGCACTGCTGTTTGGCTCCAGCTCCACTGCCATTGGCCCCAGTGGGGGCACTGGTCCTCCTGCCATTGGCTCCCAGGCTCTCTGGTCCAGTAGCATCCATGCTGGACCAAGGATATTTCTGGAACAGAGAGTTCTGATTTTTAGAAGTGCAGCCTGTACTTAATAAAATAACTTTTGTTTAGTAATAAACCCAGTGTAAGGGGTGGGTGAGATTCTGTGGCCTGCACTGTGCAGGGGGTCAGACTAGATGATCATAATGGTCCCTTCTGACCTTAAAGTCTATGAGTCTATGAATTGTTACCGGGGCAGGGGAGCAAGGAGTCTGTGCATATCTCTTTACGTTGAAAAAGAGGGTGAATTTTCATGAGCTTATTTTGTGGGGAATTCTGTACAGCAAAAGACAGTTTATCTAGGGTTCAGCTCTCACGGGGGCTGTATAGTTGAGTGCTGGGAAAAGGTTGCACACTGTACTGCTTTCAGTCTGTGTCTCCAGCCTTGAGGGTGAGGCCCTTTCCCTGTCCCTCTGCTGAAGCCAGCTGGACAGCTGGGCTCAGCAAGAGAGGGTTACAGGATGCTGAGGTTGTCATGGACAGTAAGCTATGTTGGGTCTCAGCATATCAGGTGACAGTCTCAAGAGGATGCTGCTCCCCTGCCTTGTTGTGGGGAGAGAGGTGGCCAGGACAGTGCCACAGGCATCATTCCATTGAGGCCATGGCAGGGTGTCTAGCCGGTGGGGGGGCGTGTGGCGCAGCAGGCAACGGCCAGGGGGAGGGGCTTGGGACAGTGAGGCTACTTACTTGGATGTGGAGCCCCATCCCCAGCCAGCCACTCTACCTGGTGCTGTTGCCCCTAGTGGTTATTCTGCAGTTTAGCTGTCCTTTGTGCTTGCTGTCCCTAGTAACCACTCTCAGTATAGTGTCCCTTCTCTCTTTGCCCCCTCCCTTTCCATGATGGAGAAAACAGTCCCAATCCAGCTACTTCCAGTTTTCCTGGCATAGTCAAACCCTGGCCTTGCTTTAAGTTATGATAAGAGGAAGCAGCATACCAAATTTGGTTGTCTTATCTCTTACATTTTAGAGAAGTTCTTGAACAAACGGACTCTCAGCTAGACAGACATTTCTTGCATAGATAACTTGAAGATGACTAAATATTTAACAAGTATTAGTTTAAATCTAAACTAGTGATGTCAACGTGTAGTTGACTACATGATTAACCAATAAGCCTCTGTATCAGGGGCATCAAGGGACAGGAAGCCGGTGCCCATGGGTCTTTAAAGCCATCTTCTCATTAGGATCAGTTCCTGCAGAGCCACCTGTCTTCTTACCTCCATGCTGCTGTCTTTGATAGAGAGGCAGCAGTTCAGAGAGTGAGTGGGGCAGGCAGGAGGGAAGCCAGCTTTTAAGCCAGCTTTCCACACATGCTGGCTCCATGGAATTGCCTTCCCCCTCTCTCCCGTTTGCTGCCTCACAGAGGCGGGGGAAGGAGGGGACAGACAGGAGCCAGTGCTGGGTGGGGAGTCGCCTTTTAAGCAGTATGGGGGTCAGGGGAAGCTGCCATGGAGCAGCCCCTGTTCACAGTGGACCTGGGCCTGCTGGGACAGGCTGTTCCTGGCCAGCCCTCCCACCCCACACTGCTGCCTCTGTGGAGGCAGAAGCCGGAGGGAAGACATGGCTTGGGAGGAGCCGGCTTTTAAATCAGCTCCCCTTGCAGACTGGCTCCTGCCTGCCACCACGCACTGATACAGATGCAACAGCATAGGGTGACAGGGGGCTCCCTAGGAGTGGGGCTGGGAGTGCACTAGCTGCCAGCCCCACCCCCAAGGACTATCCAATAGTCATGTAACCGCTAATATTTAATGCAGTTATGCAATTAGTCAATTACTCGATATCTAACTTCCCCAGTCTAAACCACTATCTCAGAGCTTCTTTTCTTAGATGTCAGTTGTGTAGTGGCTAACCCTTTCCTTCCCTACTCCTTAAACAGAGACAATACAATACATGCCTTAAAAGATCACTGACAAGTATAAGTAGAACTCTTTTTTTCAGTTTACAGCTGAGAGCTTCAAGTTTCAAGTCTCTTTGGATGCTCAAAAACAGAATGCAGAACACTTTTAATTAATATCTTTTTAGACTATTTTAGGGCTTTTTAAACCTAGTGAACTTTCTTTGTGTTGCTTTCACTCTGTGGAGTTTTACAGGTTGTTCCTAAACACATCCATACATCCAATCTTAAAAACTAGAGAATAAAAAGGCTGGGATGTCTCCCAATTAGTAAAAACATAGACAAGAATTAAAAAAATTAAAATAAGCTGAAGATTACAGGGTTTCATTACTGATTGTCAGCAGTTTACAATAAAGATGAACCTAAACTTTATTAAAATGACTAGATCCTAGCAACAACAGGCCATTCAATGTTCATCCATCAATGAAATTAAAAAAATTAATTTAATATATTATGACTAAATATTGTTATTGCAAACAATACAATTGAGTAATTTTGATATTTATGACCTAGCACATCTTTGAAAGCGGCATGTTAATAAAAGAAGTTGCTTAAAACATCTCAAGAAATAAAAACAACAAGGTTGTGTCTACACTGGCCTCCCTTTCGGAAAAGGGATGCTAATGTAGCACTTTGGAATAGGCAAATTCGCGGGGGATTTAAATATCCCCCACGGTATTTGCATTAACATGGCTGCCGCTCGGCTTATCTCCAAGCCGGAAAAGAGCGGCAGCCATGTTAATGCAAATACCGTGGGGGATATTTAAATCCCCCGCGAATTTGCCTATTCCAAAGTGCTACATTAGCATCCCTTTTCCGAAAGGGAGGCCAGTGTAGACACAGCCCAACAGTGTATGAAAGGTCTCTATTCACATATATGTTACTTCTGTCACAGGATATTATGCTAGAAAAGTTTCATTCTGTGTTAGAGTGGGAGGCACACAACAGATGAATTTTAGAGAAGGAATGGGTGGAGGTTCAGTCTCAGCTGTCTCAAGCATCTTTGTTTAAGGGTGTGGATGGAGGAAGAGAGTGTGTTTGAATCCTGGCTTCAGCCCCAAAGGCAGGAACAGGAGAACTACTTGATAGCCTCAGACTCTGAATGGAAAAGGCAGCTGTTGGAATGTGGAGAAGAATGTAGGCTGCTCAGGAGAGCTCAAGCTGACATGCCTCTGCCAGGATTTCTTCTTCTTTAACAGACTCCTAAGTGCTGCTGCTACAACTTGTTCTTCCCATGGAGAACAACTTGTTCTTCCCATCCTGCTGCCTTCTCATGGCTATTTAGTAATACAGACCTCATCTTTATTTTAATGTTTATGAAAACCTGTTGGACAAATCAATAATTGTTACTTAGTTACTGACCCATCTTTGTGTGTCAACATCCATTTCTCTCCTGCTTCCAGTTTCCCAAAGAAAGTTGAGTAAATAACAGATGTTTTGTTTGGTGGCCAAACTTTGGGGTCACGGTGGATAGGTTCCTTTTGAACTAAAATTGGCTTTTGGGGGATTTAGTATGTTTTTTGGCTGAAATGAAAATCTAACATTTTTGTTTGGGCTGAAATGAAATGTTTTCAGTGTCCAAATCAACACTTGTAAATGAAATGCCAATTCAAAATGGCATTTTGAAATTGTTCTTTTTTTTAAAAAAAAAAAAGAATGTTTGTTATTTCTGAAATTTTTATTTTCAGGGGAGGTTTTTTCGGATGAAACTATTTGCTGAATTTGACTTGACAAAATTGTTTTGGTGCCCTCCACCCCCACCAATGAATCTATCCAGAATGTTATTTGCTAAAAAAAATATTTCACACCACTCTAGTCCCAAATAAATTCTCCAGCTGTATCCTTCACCTGCTGCATGTATGGATGAATTAGCACCTTGCTGGATTTGTATAATTAGGTGTGATTTTATAAGCCATGGCAAAAGTAGGTGTATATTGCCACCCAGACTCGGTATGGGTGGAAGCACCATTAATGTCAATTTTGTTCAATGGGAATAGTGGTCACTTTTCTCCCCACTGTAGAGTCTAGTATTTTACAATTCTGGCACTAGGACCTTTTTTCTGGTCATTATATTGTCTATGATGAAGCACTAAGATCTTTAATAATGCCCCATTCTTTTAATGTACTCCTGGCCTTGTTTTC